GGCCCTGGGTGCTCCAAAGCAAGGAAGAAAAATCTGGTAGGTAAGTAAAAATAGCTTGCATTTTAATATAGCTTAGATTTTTCAAAATAATTAAAAAATTCCTTTATAAAATTTATAAGTTATTATCTTCTACCTTTGCCAAACCAGACAGTGGATTAAGGAAGAGAAACAACATTAAGATATCTGACTATAAAATCTGAATATAAAATAGAACCAACCTGTCAAAAGATCGTGCGAAAGATGAAGACTTATTTATATGAAGATCCCTTGTTAGATGCCAAAGAACTGCAAACTTCGCATGTGCATCCAACCTTATTTTCTGAGGAAAAATATCAGAGATTATTTTATTCTCTCGAAGATATTAAATGATTTTAGTACAATCAAATCATCTAGGAGGGTATATTATATTCAATGTCCACAGTACTCAAACAGACTAACATAAACTTTATTTTTATGGACAAAGACACAATATTGAATAAAAGGATTATCTTGCCTGCCTCATAAATAATTACTGTTTAATCTTTAGGTAACAGTTTACTAGATTATTGCACAACAGTAGAAGAAAAAGCTAATTATGTATATATCATGATATTTTGAGTCTAGAAAGCATTATCCTTTTCATTTTAATGTAAATATTTAGTTGTCAATTGATTTTATTGCACTTTATAATTTATTTTTTCTTCCAGAAATGATATTAATCTCAAATGACTTTTTTTATCGCTTCTCAGCCTTTTGGCTAAGATCAAGTGTCAAATGACTTTTTAATCACTTATAAAGTTGTCTTATTATACTCAAAAATTTAAACCTAAAAGTTACTTTTATAAGAAAAATATTAAATGACTTTTGTGATTATTTGAAAAAGGATCAAGCATTATGATAATAATGGACAGAAAAATGTAAAACTGACAAAGACAAGCATTTGGTATGAGATAATGAACATCTTTAACATAAACCAAGTAGAAACTATCATATTTTCAAAATTTTTATAGTCTTCATCTAGCATTTATGGAATCCTTCAAGCAACAGTCTCGAGAAACTAGAATGCAGCTCCTTACCCTGCCTGTGACAGAGGAGACTAATCTCTCTGTGGGCTTAACACATGCCTTCATGAAGGCGACCAATGGAGACATGCAAGAATTAAGTAATGAAAGGTGTTTTCTTTTTCTTTTCTTTTCTTTTTGTAGAGACAGAGTCTCACCTTACCATCCTCAGTAGAGTGCCGTGGCGTCACACAGCTCATAGCAACCTCCAGCTCCTGGTCTTAGGCAATTCTCTTGTCTCAGCCTCCCAAGTAGCTGGGACTACAGGCGCCTGCCACAATGCCTGGCTATTTTTTTGTGTTGCAGTTTGGCCGGGGCTGGGTTTGAACCCACCACCCTTGGTATATGGGGCCGGTGCCCTATCCACAGAGCCACAGGCACTGCCCATGAAAGGTATTTTAATTTCTTTCATGGATGTATTCATTTAGTAAAAACTTAGAACTACTTATTAAACAATGAATTGTTATACAAGTAAAAATAGGTATATAATTTGTCCTGGATTTATAATTAATGTAAAACATAAATTATTAGATTAAAATCTGGCTTTATCTAAAACTTTATTTCTGAATAGTTTTGAAAAAAATACGTCAAGACAGAAACAGAAGTTTACCCTTCTTCTCGGCATAAGCTTTTCACTCCCTTCATTTCCTCCTTCATGACCACCCCCCCCACCCCCGCCAAATGCTTCATTTACTTCAACCAGTGCATTTTTGAATATGAATCAAACTCACCACCACTTCAAGTTTTTAAAAAATAGTGCAATCCACTGGTAAAAGCCCTTCAATAAACCCTGCTATTACTCCTATCAGACGGGGAGACCACAGGCTGTTGAACCATCCTGAGGAGGCCAATCAGAACCACAGCTCCAGGGTCTTCTCAGGCTGACTCACAACACAGCCATTGTTGACGTACATATTACACTTCCTATATGCTAGATTATAAAATTCTTATTTTGAATATTTTCATACCAATAACAGAACCTCACCTATTAACATTTTATAGCTAATAAATGTAATTTATGCATTAGTTCATTTCACGTATATCGGTTAATGTGTCAGTTTTATAATTGAGGCCACTGGTTTCTCTCTAAGTGACCTGAGAACCTAGACCAGCAACAACCTTAGTCTCTTCATCCGCGCTGGTATTCCAAAGCAAGAAACAGACTCCAGCATTTTCTATTTACTTTTTCACATTACCAATGCTTTTGCAAAGAACTTTTGTCTAGAAAGAGCAGAATGAATTTATTTTGGAGACATTGAGGCCATTCTGAAGAAAGCTATATTGTCTATTACTCAGATATTTAATTTTCCTAACGAGTTTCCTTGATTTGGGGAACTCAGGCGTGGGGGGATATGTTATGTGCACAGATAAGAGGACTGACCTTGTCTTTATGGGTTAACTGCTGACTTATCACGTCCTCACAGATGCTGGAAGAAGGAACCAGATTGTGTAACTGATAAAACAGCTCCACACTCTTCTGGTGGTGCTGAGGTGTCCCATCTCCCAGCTGCTCCCACAATGTCAAAGCTACATGCTATCGAAAAAGACATAAAAATGACAGAGTTAAAAAGCCACAAATGAAATCTTATTTAACAAACATTTCCCACTGGGTACAAACTGGTACCTGGTCTGTGGCTATCAGACCAGGGAAGTGTTTAACATTCACTCTGCCACTAGGATGAGCTTTGCATGTAAAGCCCTCCCTCTGCTTCCTTTCAGGTCACCTAGTCCCTTAGAACCTTTTATGACAGTGCTTTAATTATATTTCATTTTATTTTTTGGAGACAGGGGGTTGCTCTGTCGCCCAGGCTACAGCACAGTGGTGCAATCATAAGTTTATTGTAATCTCAAGTTCGTAAATTCAAGGGATCCTCCCACATCAGCTTCCCTAGTAGCTGGGACTACAGGTGTGTACCATCTCGCCTGGCTAAATTAAAAAAAAGTATTTTTGTAGAGATGAAGTCTTGCTATGTTGCTCAGGTTGGTCTTGACTCCTGGCCGCAAGTGATCCTCCTGCCTCAGCCTCCCAAAGTGCTGGGATTATAGGCATGAGCCGCCACATCCAGCTGATATTTAAACATCGGATATGTAAGCACTTTCTGCAGGCCCAGATAGAGACCTATTTCACTATTTTAGTAATATTTAATGGCATGATATTATAAGACATTTCCCTTAATAGAAGAGAAATCCAACATTGAATGAGGGATTTAATTGTGAAGTTGTATGTTAGAATGAAAAGTTATTAATAGTCTAAATATCCAAACTACTTAAAACTTCTAGAGTTGGCAACATTTATTTTGCAGCTACCAGTGTAAACACAGCCTTTATTATGATGGTATTGATAAAAATGCAACAATCCCTACTCAAGGCTTGCCACCGCCATGCTGCAGAAGCCAACTCTAACCTAGTAGGAGGAACTACCTGGAGGGGCACAATGGCTGGAAATTGGATTTTAAAACGTTTTTTTAATGTACAGTATAAAGACTCTATCTTCTTAAGACAAAATGCAATCCACACATAGTTGATATTATTTTTATGTAGACGATATCATCTATACCACTGAGGCAGAAATCAAAGGCTGTGCATTTTTTCTGAATGACATCACACATCACAGATGATAATCAGACAGGATGAAGAGTCAGAAAATCTTTTCATGGATGTTTAGAGCACTGAGGTTTTACTTCAAGATAAGTAAGTGTCACAACCACTTAATCTGAAAATAAGCTCTACTCCATAAATGAGGCTCCTCTTTTCAGCTGGATTGCTCCTCCATGGCTTCAGTGCACTAACCCTTGTCTTTTAGTACCCTGATACCCCCTCGTGTAACTGTGAACAAAACAGGAAAAGTAATATATATCAAGTGCGACATTATTTTCCACGTGGTATGATATGAAGAGGTGGTTAAGCCTGATTATCATCTGTAAAATCACTGTTAAGCAAACTCGGTCCAGTATCATACATGGCAGCGATGATCTTAGTCATGTGTGCACTTCTTAGAATTTACCTTGAAAAACTCAGTCTTCTCAGCTATGTACCTCAGATTTCCCTGAGTGAGGGGAGGTCTGATAACCACGGCTACTCTTCCCTGGTTTGGACTTAAGGGCTGTGCAGGCTCCACACTGTTGATGTTGTCCCCAGTGACCACGGCTACAGACTGCGTCAGGCCCACCAGGTCCATGACCAGAGAGATGGCAACACTCTGGACAGTGAAGTCGCGAGCTTGGCTGCAGGCGTCCATCAGAGTCTGGAGCCACTGCGGAGGCTGCTCACGCTCACAGTCTGCGAGAAGACGGGACAGTCAGGGTCCACACACGCAACGTCCCGCAGAGACCAGGCTGACGCCAAGAACAAGGCTGCTCTGCTCAGGCCCTTGAGGCTCTGCTGTTAACAGGACCTCGGCTCTCACCTTCCCAGAGCCAAGAAAACTAAGTAGCAACAAGAATTTCACAAACTTGTTTCCAAAATATATTTTTCTTATGCTTACAATCTATTTTCTTCTCCTGAAAATATACTGAATTTGTTGTATATTAATCAACAAACATTATATAGTACTTACTGTACTATATGTGTATCTATCAAAATTTAAATACAGGTAAACACATAGGCTACTGGCAATGATAAAGGGAGCCAGTGCATCTAATGCTACAATACTTCTCTCCAGATATTTCCTTCTTAGCTTCTAATCACCTGCAATCAAACTGGGAAAGAAATCAAAATCACACCATCTTCCAACTATCAATTTGTCTATAGTAAGAGTATTTCATTTAAAAAAGTTACATTAACAAAACAGTTTAAAAAATTAATTGGGCAAAAAATACTCCAGTTTTGATATGTGAATGCTTCTTTTAAAAAAGCATTCTACAGATAATATTGAAATATAAATAAAACAGACAACTTTACCGTTCTCCAGTTTTTCAGAACGTAACTCTGCCGTGTGGCTCCCCTCAGCAATGTAGACTGGGAAGCTGGAGCACTCCAGGAAGAGCTGACAGGCGGCAAGGAAGGCTGACAGGTACTCTTTGGAAGGTTTTTGTCTCCTTAGATTTCTGTCCTTGACATCTCCTTGTGAGTCCCTGTCCCATTCTGAAGTCTCCCCTTGTTCTCGGCCCAGACCCCCTTCCTGCTCTGAAGCCAGGGCCTGTGAGAAGCCGCTGCCCTGGACCACGTACAGGTTGATGAGCCTGCCCAGGAACTGCTGGGCATACTCCAGGCAGCACTGCATGGCCGTCTTCTGGGCCGCCTTTCCGCCATGCGCTGCTACTGCCTGTGGGATAAGCGAAGGGGGCTGGATGACTGTCTCCTCCGACCCCACTGTGGAGGCGGTCTCCGTCTCAGAGGACGTGCTGCCCACTGGGATGGGAGCTGCGCCCGGCCCCTCACTCAGCTCCCGGTCGATGCCATCCGTCCGGTCTGCCTGGTACTGGATGAACTCAGTGAACCCACTCTCTGAGGAGCGACTGCTGGGTGGATTTTCTCCATCATCAAACACCTCAGCAGGATTTTCAAGAGAAATTGATGATACCTGGTAGAGATTTTAAAAGAAGTAAAAGGCTAAGTAGGTAAATTTATACATGAAAACACTGTAAATGTTTTAAAAGACATTTTAGATAGGAAAGTCGCGATATAATCTACATATTCTGCTGAATCTTAAAGCAGCCCCTTCACTTGTTCATGTAACAAGCAATGGAAATACTGAAATGCTTCTCATTAATACATTAATACATATTTATACAACAAATATTTATTATTCACTACTATGCATTGTATAATGTTAGGTTCTTGAGGACAAAAATATACAGGTATGTGTAAATCTCTAAGATTTCTATTCTTGTTTTCAAATGACTAGCAACTGATTCAATTAACTCCATAAAATCACTTTCTGAAGTCTAAACAACGCAAACAATGAGACGTGTACGGTTACAAAGTGGCGTTTAAAAAACTAGAAATAATATCTCATAGATCACATGTTTGGGCCACCTTAATATGAAATTTTTGTTGAAATATATAAAACACTAATTAAATCTTTGCTATTAATCTTACATTCCTTCAGTGAATAGTTGCTGAACTCACACCATGTGCCATGATATGTAGGAGGAATACAAGAAGTAGTTTATAATCTAGAGGAGACATATGACATACAATTAATTACAACACAAACAAACAAATCAACCAGTTCCTGGAGAAGAGCTGGAATTTATTAGCCTTTCCTCCCTATAATAAGTACAAGCATCAAATTATCTTCTGGCTTAGTTTAAATGAACAAAAGCTATACATATCATTAATTGCCTGGGTGACTGTGCCAGGGTATACTTTGAATTTGAATGAGATCATAAAAAGTGATCTTATCGTAATAATGTATGAACTAAACAGTCTACTGCCCAAAGCTGGGCCTCACCCACATCCCTTGCTTCAGTGAATAACACTGCTCCTCCCGTAGGAAGGCAGACACTGAGGGCTCAGTGCTGGTGTCTTTCCACCTTTCCCTTCCCCCAGTCCATGTCAGTATACTGGTTAGGGTGAAGGGCTAAGTTGACGGGGCCCTGTCCCTCTGATGCTTGGCAAGTAATTTAACCTCTCCAAACCTCAGTTTCCTTACCTCTATATAATTAAGATGAAAATAATTCCCACATTTTATAGTTGCTACAAGGATTAAGTTACAGAATATATAAAGCATGTGGCATAATGTTTAGAACTTAATGAACAGTAAATGTGAGTGACCACCTGTTACCCTTTTCAATCTATTGCTAAGTCTTTTTAAATGTCTTCCTAACCATCGATTCTGCCCTCACTACCCACGCTGCCCACAAGTCACCACTATAATGGGCGGCTTCTTCAGACTCCCACGTCCAGTCTTTGTTTTTCAGATCTGCACCCACACTTCAGCCAGAGTAACTTTTCTAACACACAAATCTCATTATTTCCCCTTTCCCCCCCTCAAAGCCTCCCCATCCCTCCAAGACAAAGGCTGAAAGCCCCACTGAGAGGGAGCACGCAGGAGCCACCCGCCCGCCCGCTGCACCTGCTCCCTTCTGCCCGCCTTCCTCCCCCAGCTGTGCTCTCGGTTCTTCCTTTTCCCCACCCCACCAAGTCCTCTGGAGTCTCACTCCAACATTCTTTTCTCAAGTGAGCCTCCCTTTGCTCCCAGCCAAGGTCAGGTTATTGCCCCATTCCCACTTTCCTACCTTATACTAGATAAGCTTAGTAGTTGTTAGAAGACTTCAGATGAGGACATTTAAAAAAAATTATTCCAAAATATTAAAGGGGTACAAAGGTTTTTGTTACATGGATGCCTTCCATAATGTTGCTGGGGCTTCGGGGTGCCATCACCAGAACAGTGCTCACTGTGCCCGACAGGCAAGTCTCCACTGCCAGCCTCCTCCCACCTCCCACCCCCTGTCTTGGTTTCCAATGTCCTTCACGTATCTCTGTGCTGTGCATGTCCGTCATTTAGTATTAGAAAGCATACTGTTGTCTGTTTCTCCATTCCTGAGATACTCTTTAGGATGTTGGTCTCCAGTTCCGTCCAAATGGCTGCAAAAGACACTGACTCACTCCCGTC